TCCTTGACGCCTGGAGGATGACCAGGGTTCAGGGTCCCCCTCCCTTCTCTCCACAGATGCCTGCAATACCAGCCTCCTGGGCCTCACGCACAGGCCCAGGGCTGCCTCCACATGTATCCAGGGGAGCAAGACTGTTTAGTCTGCTGGGCACATTCCTCGATTTTAAAAATAAATAGCAGATTATGAGCAACTCAGCCTGATGCTGTCATTCAGCCAGGCCAGAGGCTTCTGAGGTGTCCCGTGGGAGGGAACAGCAGGAATTGCAGGTTGGAGGTGTTTCCCTGAGACCGGGATCTCTGTCTCAGCCATAATTTATAATGGAGATGCTTCTAGTTCTCTCTGGTCAGAAGTTGTAATACTAATAACACTATGATAATGATAATAATCACTACCACTTATTGAAAGCACTATGTGTCAGACACAGCACTAGGTAATGTATGTATGCTCTCTCAATCCTCACAATAGTTAGCATTATTAATCCCATTATACAGATGAAGAAACTGAGGTTTAGAGAAGAGAATTAACTTTCTCAAAGCCATATGCCTAGTAAGTGGCTATGGATTGAGTGGAGGTCAGTCTGACTCCCATGCTCCAGCTCTTATCCACTAGGCTATATTGCCTCTCCAGGCCTGGAAATAGACAGCAGCATCCCATGCTCCCCACTGCGCCCCACCCGCCCCACCAGCCTTTTTGCTGTTCCCAAGGCCCTTTCCAGCCTGCACGGAGCCATTCTCCACTGTGACTCCCTTTTTCCATTTCACCCTTCGCTGGATCATTTTATGCCTCTATTCCCTCTGCTAATTCAAACTAATTAAAGTATAAAATAGACTAATTGCTTCCATCCCCTTACTCTTTTCCCATCTACCCTGAGTACAGCGTTATATTCTCTTTCTGGGAGTGGCCAGCCTGACAAGTTGGGTGGAAACTGGGGCTATCAAGTTTCTTTTCATCTTGTTGCTTGGCTTTTCACTTGGCTCATAGCCTGACTTTCCCGGACTCGCTGTCTGACTTCCATTAGACACCGAGGATATGGGAGCGACTTGTATTAACGCCCATAACATCTGTCGGTCGACTCGCTGTTGAGGAAGCTGGGGCAGGCTTTCTAGGGAAGAGCCAGGCATCTTATCAGTGGTGCACCTGGGCAATTAGCAGGATTGGGGAACCAGTTCCCAAATTTTCCCCTGGGAGTGGCTGGCCTGAGATCTATTAACAGTATATTAACATCGACTTGTTAGGCAGTGGCACTAACGACCCGACACTTCTTACTAGTCCTATTTCTTAATTACATTTAATTAACTGAGAGAGAGAGAGAGAGCGAGAGAGCACACATGAGTTACACTGGATTGGTCTAGCTCTGTGGGGAGATGAAAACCTCTCTAGGCAGAACTTGAGACCAGAGCCTTGCCTCTGCTCTGCTGTCACGTGGCATCAAGGACACAGCAGGTGCCATGATTTGGGAGAGGGTGAGGGGGACAGAGAGACGAGAGTGGGGGATGAGGTGAAGGCAGGGATGAGAGTAGGAGGCCTAGAGATTTATTGTCAAGTGATGGGAAGCCCCATTGCCATGAGGTCTTATATGGTCTTAGCTCTTTTAGAGGACTCCAAAGTCTGAAATCACTGCCTCAAAACAAGAATACATGTATCCATAACCAGCCAGCATGTCTACCTTCTCTGCAGTGTTCACCTTCAGGGAAGAAGTTTGTATGAGCACACACAGCTTCATAAAACTCTCATTCAGAAAGTTCCTCTTTTAGTCTAACCTCAAGCCTGTGTACTGTGCTCCTGGAGATGGAGAAAAGTCTTGATCCCAAGACCTTAGACAAGTCTCTTTAAGAGCCAACAGAGAATCTAGACTTAGATTTATTACCTCCATCTTTAAAGGGGAGGAAACTGAGTCTCTGAGAAGCTAAGGGTCTAGGTCCCCCAGCTAGTTACTGGGGGGCCAGGACTAGAACATAGGCCCCCTGGCTCAGCCTGAGGCCCCCAGGCTGTGCCACACGGCCGCTTATCTTCCTTCTAATCACAACTCATAGCTGCCACTCTCCCGAGTGATGGAATCGTTAAGAGCTGGAAGGGGCCACAGAGAATCTGAACAATGAGTATCTGTGCAGAGTATAAGGCAGCATAAAAGAAATTACTCAATGATTGCCTCAGCCAAGCCTCACGTTGACCCTTATGAGACACACGGAGGTGAAGCGACTTGTCTGAGGCCATCTGGCTGTAAGATGTTGAGATGGGATCTGAGTCAGGACTTCGGACTGCAAAGACAACCCTCTTACCTCATGCAACATCTCTATTTTATAAGAGAGGAAACGGAAGCTGTGAGAGGGCCATACTTCCGGTTATAGCAAAAGCTGGACTAGAACCCAGGTCATCTGACGTCATTTTCATTGATTGTTCTCTTGCTACACATTCAACTGTTTCCTTAAGGAGGTCTGAGTTGTCTGTGAAGACTCTGTACTCATAGCTGCTTGGCCTCAGACAGATGGCCCTCCTGAGCTGTCCTTGGCCTTCATCTCTGGACCCAGCCCCTGGTGAAATCACCTGGCTACCTATTTCTACAGGATTTATGGCTCTCCAGGTGACAGGCCTCAGAGCTCCCCCACAAATCCCCCTTAGACTTTGCCTGCTGATCACAGCTCCACTTGGCACAGAGAGCTCCCTTAACTAATATCTTACCTTGATTACTATCTTGAGACAGCCCTGTGTCATTAAACCCAAATTCTTCCTATATCTGCTCAGCATGACTGGCTACTCCTGAACCCTTCTGTTTGGCGCAGATGTTCAAGAACTGGGCAGCCGACGTAGAAGATAAGGACGAAGGAGAGGATATTGAGATATAAGCTATGTGGACACTTGTTTAGTCAGAGCTGATGCTCTCAGAGGCGGCATCAGATACGGTTTCAAGAGGTCATTATATTCTCTGAAGGCCACTCATCAGCCTCCAGTCCTGACCCACCTTTCCCTTGGCTGCATTTTGAATGCAATTTCAGAAAGCATCCCATTTGGGGAAAAAACACGCAGCCAAAATATGTGCCTGAGCATCTTCTCAGTTCCACTGAGGTCTCACTGGTCACTTCTATTTGCTGTTTCTGCTTTTCCACTTCAGTGGGTGCAGAGAAGCCAGGAAAGAGCTCTTACCCAGCTCCCTGCTTGGTCCTCAGCCACACATCATCTCTTTTGAAAATATCATGTGTAATGTGTGTCTATCTGATCCCTCTGACCATTCGTCTATCCACCTATCGAGGTTGCCATCTATCCATCTATCCTACCTGTATATATTCCTGCAGAAGTGTCTGGAGTGATGCTCACCAAATGTTCACATGGTGTTACATTTTAGGTAGTGGGGTTTGTAGACTTGTTTCCATTTTCTTTTCTGTATGTAGTCTTTGAATCTGTATGCTCAGCATCTACCATTTTTGTTTAAAAAATAACCTTTGTCTATAAACAAAGGAAAATAGGAAGAAAAACCAGAGCACTTATAGACTTCAGTGTGACGATACAGATACCCAGGTATGCATTGGATTGTAAGCAACCTAAGGGTAGTGACCAAGTCCCATTCATTTGATGTTTTCCCAGTACGTTGTTCCCAATAAGTATGTGCCCAGAAATGTGTGTTTTTAGGACCCAGCGACTGTTTCATCGGAATGATAGGTCAGTGTTTATTTCCAAGACTGTCTTACCCACTCTAGGTTAGGCAAAGCCTCCTCCAGCTCTACCAAATTCCCATCTGGACCTGTTTATGCCTCAACCGCAGGGGCCACAGGGGAGAAGGTAAAAAGAAAGGTGGGTTCAAGAGGATCTGGATGCAATTTGCATGCAATTAGCATATGATTTGTGTCATCTCTTCTCAAGAAGTAATTTTCATGTTAGAGCTGCATCACTGCTTCCCTTATGCTGTCATGTGCCCACTCACCTTTTCCTTCCTCCCTCCACTCATCCCTCATCCCTGGATTCAGAATCCTTCATTCAGAAAGAAAGGAGGGAAAGAGACCTCTGGGCAGGGTGATGCTGATCAAGGACACCTGGAATCTTCACAGAGTATTTGGAGAATGACACACGAGGTGGGAGGCACCTTGTGAAAGCTCGCTAGTCCTCCAGCCCAGCATCCTTGTCTAGCCTAAGTCCGTGTCCTCAGCACCAAGACAGATTCACAATCATTTTTCTCCTTCTTTGCTCTTTATCTTACTTACCATGTTGAGGTCAATGCCAAGACCACCGCTCCTGCTGAACAACTGGTGACCCCCTGACTGAATGGAAGGAACTAGCCTTTCCTAAGGTCTTTGCTTTGCTTTCTGCATCTCCATTGATTTGGTGAATGCTGTCTTCCCTGCTTCTTTCTCTTCTCCTTTACCATGGATCTCCCTGCATTTGCCTTCTCTCTGCTCACACATATTCAAAGCAAATACAATCCGGCAGAATAACTCTCCATCTGAGAGGGTGGGGGACCTGCTCAGTTGCTATCCAGCAGAGGGTAGAAGTCTATTTCTCGGGGCTCCTCACGTCTGCAGGCAGAGCTGCAGGTTCCCAGAGCTGGCCAGCTTCTACCCTGCATCAGTCTAAGACTCAGGCCAAGATTTTTATCTCCTTCTGGGGCCTTATCTTGGGCCTGTCTCTCCCAGGATCGGGCCCAGCCTGGAGGCCTGGATTATTTACACCTCTTTGGCTCCCTTGAGCAGCAGACTCTGTGGGCCCAGGAGCAGTAAATCTAACTTCTAATCACACCAAGCCACTCCGTGCAGTCTGGCCCATTCTTGCGGGGCTGTTCATCACGCATCGAGACAGGGGCTGTGGCCCAGAGAGAGGCCTCCGGGAAGTGGCTGGCCCCAGTTACTTCTCTCTGGCTCCCCCAAAAGCCTCCAGGGATTCTGCCCGTCCCAAGATGCCTGAGCAGCAAGCCCAGAGGTCCCTCTTGTTAGATGGAACAGATTCTGAAGAAAGGTCACAGGTTATCAGTTCCTCCTGGGCTTTGCAAAGGAGGGATAGGTGTCAGCACTTACCTGTCTCTCAGACATGATGTACAGGTAGCGCTGATCAATGGAGAAGGCCATGTCCCGGAGGATTGGGCTCCCGTCCTTGAGCACGGAGACCATCTCATACTGAACCCCGCCATGGGGGGGACCATCGGCTCGAATCTGCGAAAGAAACAAGAGTGTCCTCAGCATCTGTACTCAGCAGTCCACTGCAGGTTAGCTGCCTCAGCCTAGAGCAGATAATTTACAGAACATAATCCCTCCACCCTACCCCCATTGCTACCCTGAAGCAGGCTAGGTTGCAAGGAAGATAGAGGTGCTCCTAAATTCAGACAGCCCAGTTTCCACCATGAGGAATCCTTTCCCAAGCGGTCTGCGTGTGCCGAGTTTTAGATTTCTGATAGTAGGTTTATCTGAGTGTGCATATATGTATGCCCTTAGGTGTGATTTTGAATATCCCTACCTGGTTATTCTTGTGTGTGTGTATATATATTTATAGCACTGTGTGATGAGTGTATGTGCAAGTGAGTGTGTGCTTGTGCATACTTATTTATCTTTGGGGTAGGAGAGTCAACATTTACACACAGTGTTTCTGCCTCAGGCAGGTAAGGGAGAATGGTGGGACAATCACATAAACAAGCAAAAAGCTGGTCAGCAAAAGAGTCAAGATTTTAGGATCTCAGGAAGGTCTTTCTGCCCCCAAACGTTTTCCCCTGAATGTGTTCAAATCCACCTGGTGATTTTAGTGAGCCAGGAATCCCAGCTTAGTCTCTCAGAGCCCATCCCAGGATATTAAGTCAGAAAGGACTTGATGTCATCTAGTCCAGTGCTTCCCAGCCCTGGCTGCACATCAGAATCATCTGAGAAGTTAAAAAAAAAATGGATGCCAGGGCTCGCTCCATTCATCAGAATCGCTGTGGGTGGGGCCTAGGCATCTTCTTTGGGTACTGAACCTCCCCAGGGGAATCTAATGAGTGACCAGGCTCTAGAAGAACTGATGTGGTCCAGTGGTTCTCAAACCAGTGTGCCCTGAGATCACTTGGGGGGCCTGGTAAACGACATGGCTGAGCACACCCTCAGAGTTTCCGGTTCAGCGGGAATGAGGCCTCAGAATTTTCATTTCTAACAAATTCCCAGGTGATGTGGATGCTGCTAGTCTGGGGGTTTGAGAAATGCTAATCTAATCTAAGCTCTATATACAATACTGAGACTCTGTAGAGAGAAGTTCCTAAGGTCATACAAAAAGTTGGTGGTCAGGAGCCCTTGATTTGAATGTGCTCCCACCCCTAGGCTTCTTGTTCCAACACAGCAGCTGCCTATTGACCAATATTCCCCGCCATGGTTCCTTTTCTTTGTCTTCTACCCATCTCTGAACCCCCTCTAGCTCAAGCCCCACTTCTCCATGAAGCCTTCCCCAATCTTTCCACCACATTAATTGCTCCTCACCCTGATGTCTTTTTTCCTACTGGACATTTTCTCCTAGGATTATAATCAATTGATTTGCTCATTGTATATGTACTAGCTAACATGTATTGACTACCTACGTAAGTTGTTTTCCAATTGTTTCACATGTGTAGAAGTTCATCAACATTTTGACGGCAGGGATGTGTTTTCTATTTCTCGTATAACCCTCTGAGGACTAGAATGAAGCTGGGAACATAGCTGGTGATGGATAAAAGGGAATGCTTGAGAAATGCCTGTTGAAAGGACATGAACTATGAACGAGCTGATAAAGTATCGTGGACTGTTTAGTGCTAAATCAAAGTGAGGTCAAGAGACAGTTCCTCTGAAAGATTTTAAGATTAAGGCTTCCCCTTTCTATTCCCCTTGATTTCTCTCTTATACTTCTAACCATCTCCTTCCCTCTGCCCATTTCTCCCATCCCACCGAGAGCTCCTGAGGGCAAGGACCATGACTTATTCATCCCAAAGGCCAAGCTTGGTGCCTTACACCACAATAAACATGTAAGGATGGACGAATGGATGCATTTTCAGTTCCCATTGGCTGAGGAGGGAGGGTCAAGAGCACTATTTATTGCAGAGTTGGGAAAGTAGGACCAGTGCTTCCATTCATATTCCTCTACCCTCCTGAGAATTCGCATACTTGAGGGGCCTGACCCTGGGCATGGTCTGCATCTGTTGGCTTGGGCTAGACTGGAGTCGGTGGGAAGCAAACCACGAGCCCATTGTGGATTGGGGAACTGTGGTCCTGGAGTTCCTAGAGGCAGAAATAGCTGACTCCTACCTGAAGCCCTGTGTCTAGACCCCAAGGGTGGGAACAGGCTAGAGTCAGGGATACTGTGTCCTCACCTGCTTTGGTGGGTGAGTTGGGGGCTCTGGGCTTGAGGATGAGGAGGTGACCTCAGTGGAACCAAAGAAACTCTGCTCTCAGCCATTCCTACCCCAGTAACTCCCCTTGTGGGTTGGACTCTCCTTTTCCCCCTAAGTTCCTCTTGTGCTCTTATTCTGCCTAGCTAGTGGCTTCCTGCTGTTCAAAGCTGCTGCCTTGGCAACTGTTACTAAAGCCCCTCCTTCCAGGGGAGGGATCAGGGGGCTATTTAACTCATTCTCATAGGGTGGAGGAAGACTCTGGGGTCAGAGATGACATTATGGGGCTGAGGCTACTGCCCTCCACCCCAGCACATATCTGATTATGGATTCAAGGAGAGGGAAGAACAAGGGTCTTTATTTGGGAAAATACCCCACATTTTCCCAAATAGAGACCCTAAAATGGTTCCCTTTAATTTTCAAAGCAGTATTCTCTCTTAGATGGACAGATCCCAAATTTCCATGAGATCCTTCCAGAAACATGGTAGCTTTTGATCACAGAAGTTCTCAGGCTATTGCAAGAGGTAGAAGGAACATGGGATAGTCATGACTTCTGGTTGGCTTGACCTCAGTTTTCTGTCTCCATAAAATGGGGAGTTGAGGCTCTGCTTCTTCCTCTGATGGGGAAATATACCATGCCTCTTACCACCCTCCTTATGACAGCTGCTCTTTTCCAGGAAGATTAAGTCTCCTCAAGGTGCCGACTCAGCTCCAGGAGCTGCAGAACCAGCCCACTCCCTCAGGCCCGGCCCAGGATCTTCCCACTTGGGGAGGGTGGTTAATCCTCTGCCAGGCAGGGCAGCCTCCCTCTCCACGAGCCCGGGCATTTGCCTGGATTGCCAGCAAGGCCTAGACACAAAGTCAGAAGGAGGAAAGCCACAAGTCTGGCCCTCCCTCTGTGGTCTCTGGGACTAGATGGTACCCATGGCCAGGTTGCAGCTGGAATGGAACCAAAGACAACTTATCATCACACACTCTGCTGCATCCCAGTTAAGACCAATCCCAGCCATTCACTTTTTCCTGAATCAGAGACCTAAGAAGGATTTTTTCTTCCACCTGCAACCTCAATCTTTTAATAAACCAGTTGAAGTCAGAACCAAACCTACATAACTCTTAAACGTTAGAGTTAAAACCAAACCCGAACAGAAAATGTTCTTGGTACTGAACCTGAACTAAGCTATCCTATTTCATTCAGTCTAAATCCCTGGAAAGTGGAGCAGTATTGCCCAGGAAGTCTGTGCCTGCCCACTTATTCCCTTAGCCCATGCTATCTGCCTTGGGCTAGTGTAGCCCTCCAGGATACCTATAGGAGGGCAGAGAAGATGGAGAATGGGGCCAGGAGGCCAGCGGGTCAAGGGGAATGAGGTGAGGGCAGGGCTGGCAGGCAGAAGAGAGGGAGGCCACTGGGCAGTAGAGACCTCTCCCCTCCCTAATGCCCTTTGCTCCCTCCGGGCAACACTCCCAAGTGGGCCGAGTATAGGTCTGGAACTCAGGCTTCCTGGGTTTCTGGTCTGACTCTGTTCTCGCCTGCGCTTGATTTCTCCCTAATGGTATACTTTCAGGTCAATCACTTCATCTCTCTGAGCCACAGTTTTCCTGTCTGAAGAACAGGAAGAAGCAATCTGCTCAGTGCCTATCACAGGCGAATCACAGACTTGTAAAAACTGCTGGACCTGCAAGGGCTTTGGAGCCCATCTCCTCTGAGCCCCTCCATTCAAGGCACACAGCTAGTAGTGTTGGAACTGGGACTCAAACAGGCTCCCCAGCCAGTGTGGTCCAGAGGAAAGTGCATGGCTGATGGAGACGGGGAACTAGGAAGAACAGTCCTACTAGGGAGAAGGGTTCAAGTGCACAATTCTCCAGACTTTTCTGTCTTGGATAGAAAGGTGTGAGTTTCAAGTCGTCCTGCATCCTCGCCAGACAGAGGACGACTGTGGTGAGGGGGCTGTCAGGGAGTCCCAAACACTGGTGGGGTTTTAAAATCCAACTGATTGAGTCTATTCTGTGGTGTCCCACAAAGTGACAGTTCTCTTCAGCTTGTGTTCCCAGGGCCAGGTTGCAGTGATTACAAGGACAACAATAAACTGAAATAGGTCATAAGCCAGCCCAAGAGAATGGCACTATCAGACGGAGCTGCACAGGCCCTGACATCCAACCAGGCAGGGGACAGGGCAGAGGAGGAAGGTGATGCTGATGGGTGGAAGCGAGTCACACTTGAACGTGTCTTGCTAGTTGGGCTCTTCTGCTCCTGGGAGGGCTGGACCTCAGTGGACATGCAGAAGCTCCTGGCACCATTTTGCTTGGACAAAGCTCAGAAGGTAGGATAAGAAGGACAGTGTGCCACAGTGGAGGGTGACAGTCTTTACTGAGACCAGCAAATGACAAAATGTGCCCAAACTGTTGCACAAGGAGATTTTGGCTCGCTGTAGTAAGAATTCCTGTTATGGGGAGCTCTGACTGCAGAACAGGTGACCACAGGAGGCTACGCCCTCCTTCTCAGGAGTGTTTGGAACAGAGGAGAATCCTTCTGCTTCATGGTTAAATGTGGCCCCACCTGAAGGCGGGAGGATGGATTTAGTGAACTTACAAATGGCCCTGTTCACCTAAAAAATTTAATAATAGCTACCACTTCTATGCCTCGATAATGTGCTAGGCGCTGTGGAAAGTACTCAACCAAAATTAACTCATTTAATCCTTACAAGAACCTTTGAGGTAAACACTATTATTATTTCCATTTTACAGATAGGAAATTTGAGACATGGAGACTTAGGTGATTTTCCCAAGATCACACAGCATTAGCACTGGGATTCCCACCTGAAGCCTGATTTCTCAGCT